TTATTTATTTTTTCTATTACTTAATTATCTGGATACTTATATTTATTTTCTACTCAAAGCGCGTAAACGTTTTAATTGTTAGTCTTTGCACATCTCGTGTTGGTTATTGTGCGAATGGATGTAGTTTTGCGAACATAATATGACTTGAGAGGGAAAGAATTTTGGAAATTGTTAGTATAGAATTTCGTTTAATTTGTATATCACGATTACAAGTCAAACTCACTCCAAAAGAAAAAGAAAAGCAACTATAAATGAATTATATATCGTTTCCGAAAATGCGAAATTACAATAAAAAACCAAACCATTAAATATTTATTGTTATTTTATAAATTTTCATAATAAGTTATTTAATAGAAATTTAATTAGTTTATAATTGCGACCATAAGCTTTATAATTTATCTGATATTACTATTTTACATGTAAACAGTAATACTTAAAAAAAAATTAATAAAAAATTTCTTTATTTGAAAAATCATTGTACATATTTCTAAAATATGATGATTTAAATTTTTTTTCATGATCATATTTTCAAGAATATCCTGTGCCTTGCAAACATCATAGTTTTGTTTAGCTTGGTCTTTGAAATGAATTTATTTGCAAAACACATCAAATTATTCTTTATTCTGTATATTATTATACATAGTTATAACACCATATATTGTTTAATTTATTTTATTAATTAATCTTATTTTTAAAATAAAAAAATAAATAACGGGTTTAGACTGCCATGGATAGAATATAAAAGGTGATATATGAAAAACCAGTTTTTCAATCTGAATATTAAAAAAAAAAGTTTTTGGAAATTTTTATGAGAAATGGAACCCTTTTTCTTCTATCCTCGTTTCAGCACAAATGAATCAAATTTGAATAAAATCATTCGTTCTTGACTAATGATAGGTTTAATTTATTGTACAATATATACTTATGAATTATTCTTAAAATAATCAATCATCCGGTTATATAGAATATTGAAATTTATACCTCATGCGTCTATGTATTTTTCTTTGTATTTAGACGACGATTAGAATATTTGGATTTCCATTTTTCGTTCATGTATGGGATTCCAAATTGCCATATGGCATATCCAATCAAGGCCGTTATTAGTATTGTCCAAAACACAACTACGTGTGTCGGTGCAGGGTTTGGAAATTCCCCTCTACCAAACTTATAACATATCACAGTTTCTGTCATCACATTTGCTACAGTAAGCCACGCTTGTGGGCCAAATCTTTTGCATTTCCTAATTTTTAAAAAGAAAAAGTTATTAAAAAACGTATAATAGAAATGTGTCACGGAAATTCTAGTCAATTTGATAAAAATATTACTTGTCCGTGAGATATTGATAAGCTTCACGTGTTGCAGGAATAGAACACATGAAAAGTAAAAGAGCGCGATACGAATTTAACGGATGATCGGCTGGTACCCATAGAAGGTATTTCAAATAGAATGAATTCAATTCCGCCTGCAAAAACTATATAAAAGGCATTGGAACCATCATTTAACATATGCAATAATAATAATGTAAGCGCATATAATATTAAATGAATTACCAGGAATAAAAGTCCAATAACTGCCACGTAGTTTTTAAAACTCTTTGTTGTTCCCCATTCAAACTTTGTCCAATGGTGCGGCGTGAATTGTTGAACCGTACGTTTAACTTTGCCTTTCAGCGAACTTATCTGCTTGATCCCCCTCCACGAATACCCTTTCATCTCGAAATATTCACATGTCTTCATACCAAGGTATATTCCGGCCCAATTGCATGTCAGAACATCGAGAATCCACTATAACACGTGCGCTGGTGAGTTTTTACGGATCAAAGAATCTCGTGCTAAGAGGATTTTAAGATTGTAATTTTTTCTAAGTCAACTCACATGATCCCACCAGCACTCGGCAAAATTGGGTAGTTGATGTTGTAATGTGTACTCCATCACTTCAAACATAACGGATAAAATCCAGCAGAACCAATAATCACGAAGTACTACAGCTTTGGCGTACCATCCGATAGCGTGATATATGACAAATATGTCGAGTTGATTCTATTCATTTACAAATGTTAGTCATAAATAACTCTGTATAGTTTAACGCGTGTAATACCTTAAAATTTTCAATAGTCAGTTCGCAATGTTCAGCGTAAGAACGTTCAGGTAACGGTATTCCCAGAGATGAATCGAGACAAGAAAATATATATCGTGCATCACGTTTACTCTAATAGATGATTTTAAGAATATCTTGTTTATCCTTAGTGATTGTGTCTTCAATTCACCAATATATTTAAAGTAGTCATACCTGAAACAATAGAAATACAAGGAACATCTGGTATAACACTCCTATTCCTAATACGACACGCCAAAATGCTGGATGTGGTCGAATGAATGGCCCATCTCGAAACTGAAGCATAGCAAACAGAAGGAAAGAACCAATTCCTGCCAATACTCCACTAATTCGCGAATGAAAGTTATCAATCGTTTTATTCACAATGAAGAGGACATAATTTAAATTATATTTGACTTTCTTACAATTTAATATTGGTTGATGTGTCGTCTGCTTCGGGATACATGGCGACATAGACTAGCCCGACCAACATGGAGACTAGCACAGTCAAGGTCCTTGGACGGTCTACAGAGGTAAAATGTTACTACTGAAGAACATTTGGACGGTAGAAAGATATCGACTGTAGAGTAAAACGCACAAAGAAACTCTGTGGTGGGATCATCGTCTATATATGCTACAGGTTGAACTTGTATAGATCTGGCATCGAAAGGATCTATTATGGCTTTATTGGATTGTTCTGTTAGGAGATGACCTGAACTATTCGATGTATCTGATGTCGACATTTTTAAAAAAGATGAAGGAGTTTTAGATATAAAAAACACATTTAAAACTCTTAATTCCAGGGTTACACCTGCACGTATCTACGGCATTCATTAACGGTATGATCTTCAAATTTACACATTATCCAATTTGCTATCAAACAGGTTATAACTGTAACTCAATTTTTTTCACAGAACATTCTATATCTGGCGATTACATCAATTTTTTCTCATATTTAATAAGTATTAATAAAAATACAAAGAAAATTACATTTCTTATACTAAGTAAATTTAACTATATTAATCTATCTATACCATATATAAACATTAAAACTATACATTAACAAAGATAGTGGCATATCAAACTATGTGATTTTTTTTAAAAAAAAATTAAAAAAATATATATATTATTATTATAATCTATTTTTTATATTATATTTTTAGTTTATATGGGTAATTATTATTGAAGGCATCAAAAATGCTAGATATGATTTTTTCGGACCCAACTTTAGACAATACATATATAGTATAAATTTCAGGATCCCATCAGAAAATTTCCGGTCCGCCTTTGAAAATAATTACCCATATAACTATGTTTTGAAGTTATTTTTTAATTATTATAAATTATCAAACTTAAACTATTTTCAATATATAATATAAATTATTTTAATTTTAATTTAATTTTTAAATTTTTAAATATAATTATATTATAACTTAATTATTTTATATGTTTTAATATTAATTCAATTAAATAGTTCAAATAATTGTATTAATTATATCAAAGATTTATAGATTTTAATAATGTATGTAATTAAAATTAATTAAAATATATTTTTTAAATCTTTTAATAATTATTAATTATTAAATTTAGAAATTATAAAACTAAGTAAAATATAACTTTTAAATATATATTATTTTATTAAATAGTTTTTTACAATTATCATATGTTTATATTTATTTTTTTTTTTTTTTTGCCTCTAATCAGACTGCAAAAGTTGCATTTATTCATCCAATTTTGGAAAACAGTAGTACAA